CGGGCTGGGGATTCAAACCCGCCACCTTAGGTGTATGTGGCTGGCGCCTTAGCCGCTTGAGCCACAGGCACCGAGCCACTATTTTATTTATTGAGTTTATTTTCTTCCGGTTGTTTCTTTTCAAATTTAGCTCATGTTTATATTGACTGTCAAAATATTTTTTATGTGGTTAAACTTATTTTTGCATTGTGTCTAGCTTAAAAAGTTCTTCCTATACCTACTTACCCACATATTCCCCTTTCCAGTAATTTCAGTTTTACTTACTTTTTTTTTCAAGGTATAATTTCCATTTTATTTTTTCCTGAAGGATAGTTTTTCTTCAGTTCTCAAGAACTCAGCTCCTTACATGGGCTTTGGTGGAGGTTGTAGGGTAGCACCCCCAGGTCTAAATAGAGATGCTCAGTCCTTGCATGCTTCCCAGAACAGTTCCTGACTACCTTGCTGTGAATAGCACAACTCACACAGTAATGTAGTTTCACACAGAGCTTGGGAAACACATAGGCACACAGGTGTCGAAGACACTGGATTCAGAAATATCCCTCAGAGCTGTAGCCCCCACTATGTTCTGAATGATGAACTGTTTGTTTGTTTGTTTGTTTGAGACAGTCTCAAGGTGTGGTCCTGGGTAGAGTGCCGTAGCGTCATAGCTCACAGCAACCTCCCACTTGGGCTCAAGCGATCCTTTTGCCTCAGTTTTTCTATTTTTAGTAGAGATGAGGTCTCACTTTTGCTTAGGCAGGTCTTGAATTCAAGCTATCCACCCACCCGGCCTCTCAGAGTGCTAGGATTACAGGCATGAGCCACCCCACCTTGCCTCCAATGATGAACTTCTTTATCGCTTTGTCTTTGAGCAAACGTGGGGTGCAGTGCCTGCATATTTGTCATCTTCAAAGCAAGGATGCAAAAGCTACTTACTGTTTTTGGGGTTTTTTTTACTGTAATTTTAAGCTTACCTTTTCACATTTAACTTTTATTTATTTTTTGAGACAGAGCCTCTCTCTGTTGCCTAGAGTACAGTGGTATTATCATAGCTCACTGCATCCCTAATTCCTGGGCTCACATGATTCCCTTAGCTCAGCCTCCCAAGTAGCTGGGACTGTAGGCACATGCTACCTCATGAGTCTAATTTTTCTATTTTTTGTACAGATGGGGTCTCACTGTGTTGCCCAAGCTGTTCTCGAACTCCTGGTTAAGCCATCTGTAAAGATGGTTGTGTTCACAGTGAAATAATAGAAAAATTATTAACTCATAGTTTTTCAGTAAGAACTAAACTCTCTATGGCTGCTTTCTTTGTCTTGCCAGCAGTCCCCCACCTTAAATTCAGCTACCCACTGGACCCGAGGAGGGCATTCTGCATTCCCATTGGGACTTTGGGAATGCCATGCTATGTCACTTGCTCTCTCTTGTGCACTCTCTTTCTTTCTCTCTCTCTCTCTCCCCCCATCTTGTTCTTCCCTCCCCCCATCTTCCTGTTTCTCACTCCCAGCTCTTTGCTCTCTGTCTCATCTCTTCCCTCCCCTCATTTCCTTTCCTCTTTCTAATGTAAAATAAAGTCTAAACTTTTATATCTGAATCATGGTCTAGAGAAGTACTTTTCTTATCCCAGTGCTCAGCACCAACTGACCAACTAAGCTTTTTCCAACATATCACAATCCTCTGCCTCAGCCTCCCAAAGTGCTGGGATTTAATGCATAAAGAATTTATTATGAAATATTATTATGAGATAAAGGATAACTTTTTGAATAATAATGATTATTCTTCCTCCTTTTGAAGAAATATTTGGCTTACAGAACATATTTGAGACTCAACATAATCTTCAAAAAGGAAGCTTTCCACAGGTTTATGCAAGAGGGAATGTGCAGTGACATTATAATGTACTGCAATGACAGTACAATGACATTCTGAGAGGTAAAGTGCTTGTAACTCACCAAACTCTGGACAAAGCAGTAGTCATAGATATCACTATGTCAGTCTTATAGAAGTATATTTAAAAAATCAGATCTGGAAATGGAAATTGGTTGCAGCTTTGAATTAATAAGCCTTTACTTAAATTAATGAATTTTCTGATACGATCAGAGTGACAAAGAAAGTGATATTGTATGTATATGTGTGGTGGTGTGTGTGTTTGGTAAGAAGGAGGACACAGTTTCAAATCAAGCTAAAAGTTGTGGTCAATTTATAACATACTACAAAAATTTTATGAGTCCCTGATAATGTATCAATTAAGTGAATGAATAAGTACAGATATCTTCCTATTTTTGCACAGATGGAGAATGAGTTAGATTCTGCTCGTTCTGAAATAGAACTCCTTAGGAGTCAGATGACAAATGAGAGAATCTCCATGCAAAATCTAGAAGCTTTGCTCGTAGCCAATCGAGACAAAGAATATCAGTCTCAGATAGCACTTCAAGAAAAAGAATCTGAAATTCAGCTTCTTAAAGAACATCTTTGTTTGGCAGAAAATAAAATGTGAGTTGGTTAGAAACACAATAACGTAAAATCATATTTCTTAAATTTATAGATTAGAATTTTAAAACTAGAATTTAACTCCTATAATTTGCCATTTATTAAACAGTGGATCCAAAATATTGGGATTTGCATGAGATTACTTACTTCTATTATCTTTTTATTTTCTAAATTTAAGTTTCCAGCTGAGTTTTGGGTATAATAGAATGTCTGATCTAAAATATTGCCCTTAGAAAACATAACCAGATTAGAAAAAATTAAGCATGCTGAAACCAGAAGTTGTTTTATATTCATGAACGCTCCTGGTGTTGCAACCTAGTCTTTCCATTTGCCGTGCAGTATTTCCTTGTATAGCTATGAGTGTATACTGAATACCTGGAAGAAAGCCTGCATTTACAAAATGCTGCAGACGTTTTCTTCTTCTTCTTCTTTTTTTTTTTTTAGGACTTCTAGCACCACTAGCACTTTGTTAGAAGACCCTTGCTTTCCTGTACAGTTGTTGGAAATGCCTTCCTGATGGTGAATGTTTTATTATTAATTTGATCACTTCTCACAAAAAAAATGATAGTGACCTTTAGCCCCTGTTTTTGCCTGTCCCATTTTATAGCCCTTTTCATCTAGCCTCCACTCTGTCCTCATATCTGAGCCCCAGGCCTGGGGAAGAATAGGAATCATGGTCTTGGCAATCAGCCACTCCTAGGAGTCCTCGACTATGGAAAGGCTGCAGGGCTGGGACTATGACTGAGTCATTCTTTTCAGTTACTGTAGCTAAGCTTTTGTGATATATTCAACTGGTTTTACAGGATCACTTTCTCAAGGTGATAGGTGGAAATCTACCTTAGTGAAGTATGCAAAAACTCCCATCTTAAAGGGTGTACTCTATTTTAGACTGGCCGGTAAGTACTCTCACTTAGAATTAGCATGAGGTCAGGCATGGTGGCTCACACCTGTAATCCTAGCATTCTGGGAGGCTGAGTTGGGCAGATTGCCTGAGCTCACAGGTTCCAGACTAGCCTGAGCCAGAGCAAGACCCCATCTCTAAAAACAGTTAGACGTTGTGGCTGGTGCCTGTACTTGGGAGGCTGAGGCAAGAAAATCACTTAAACCCAAGAGTTGGAGGTTGCTGTGAGCTATGATGCCACAGCTCTACCGAGGGCAACAAAGTAAGACTCTGTCTCAAAAAAAAAAAAAAAGAGCATGAGAAACATTTGTGTTCTTAGTCTCTAAGGTTTACATGTCATCAGTCTATAATGCTGTCCTAGATCAAGCAAAAAGGCTAAAATGTTTTATGCAAGCACCATTTATCTGTCATTATCTTCCTTATGATACTGTGCCTTATCACGGAGTTTTTGAGGCATTGTTAAGCCTTAAGGAAGATCTGTAAATTGAAGAGTTTTTATGTTTTTAATAGTATATAAATCAAATTTCATTCTAAGTATATAAAAGGAACTTACTTGGCTAACTTGATACATATAAAACAGACCATATAATCATGGTGCTAGTGAATTCTAGTGTTAATTATTTGATCATATTACTTTACATTAATACAATACTTCAAATACCTTTATAAAAATGATTTACAGCAAATAATATAGATAGATAATATATTAACATATACATAGGGAAACTGAGAAGATTTAACTGACTGAATGGGGCTAGAGTTGCATAGGCTTTTCAAGTAGGCTACTTTACACACTTAGTGCATCTAAAATCAGCATTTTTTTTTAAATTTTTAATGTTTTTGTAGAGACAGAGTCTCACTTCGTTGCCCCTGGTAGAGTGCTGTGGCATCACACAGCTCACAGCAACCTCCAACTCCCAGGCTTAGGCGATCCTCTTGCCTCAGCCTCCCGAGTAGCTGGGACTAGAGGCGCCTGCCACAATGCCTGGCTATTTTTTTGTTGCAGTTTGGCTGGGGCGGGGTTTGAACCCTCAGTATATGGGGCCAGTGCCCTACTCACTGAGCCACGGATGCTGCCCTATTTTTTTGAGACAGAGTCTCATTATCTCACCCTCGGTAGAGTGCCATGGCATCACAGCTCATAGCAACCTCCAACTCTTGGGCTTAAGCAATTCTCTTGCCTCAGCTTCCCAAGTAGCTGGGACTACAGGTGCCACAACGCCCATCTATTTTTTTGTTGCAGTTGTCATTGTTGTTTAGCTGGCCCAGGCTGGGTTCAAACCTACCAGCTCCAGTGTATGTGGCCAGTGCCATAACCACTGTGCTGTAGGCACTGAGCTAGCATATTTTAGATGTACAAATAAATCTGTTTATAAAAATCACAACGTGACTTGGATCCAGTTGAGAAACTATTGTCAACATGGTTTAATGTATCATAAGAGTTATAGACATATTTTAAATTGAATCAGCTATCACTCTTGCCTTTTTTTACACAGGGCCATCCAGAGTAGAGATGTGGCCCAGTTCAGAAATGTTGTAACACAGTTGGAAGCTGATTTGGACATTACCAAAAGACAACTAGGGACAGAGCGCTTTGAAAGGTAAGTTTGTTTTTATGCATTGTTCAGCTTGGAAAGCACTGCTTTTTAGGTAACAAGTCTTAGTTGTTTCATGAAGGTTTGATTTGAAAGTATGAATTGAACTACAGTTCTGTGATATTGATAGACTTAATAATTTCACTGAATGTAAAAATAAAACCATCACTATTTTGTTTAGGGAGAGGGCTGTACAAGAACTTCGCCGCCAAAATTACTCAAGTAATGCCTATCATTTGTGTTCCACAATGAAACAAAATGCAAAATGTCATTCACCAGATCGTGCTCACCATCGATCTCCTGACCGAGGCCTAGATCGATCGTTAGAAGAGTAAGTCAGTTTAAAGATCCATTCTCTTCAGCCCACACAGCAATAGAGTACAATATTTGAGGGAATAAGGAAACTCAATAAACAATCTGTCATTAATGGTGATATTTAAGCATGATTGCCAAATATATGAATGTAAAATATAAAAGATTTTGATAAAGAATTTTATGTAAATATTATACTAAAGGGAAAGATCTTTAATATTTATATAAATCTTACTTTAAAAGTCTAATTTTCTTTTTCTACAAACATTTCTTTCATGTACTTTTCTTATAAAATGTTAGTTATTATAGCAGTATAAAATATATTTGTTCAAGAAAAGTGATAAGCTAATGTTTCAGAGGAAAGTATTTTAGATATATTTCTATATGCCATAAACCCCTTAACTTTTTATTTGGAAATAATTTCAACTTTACTAGAAGTTATAAAAATAAAAATAATACAAATAATATCTTCACACCCTATACCCGTACTCACTATTTAAAAAATTTTACCCCTTTTTTTATATACGCACGTGCTATCTCTCATGCCCTCATACTCTTCTTCCATATGCCGCCTCTCTCTTACTACACATACACATACATGCCTTACACATGCCTTACACATCACACAGATGCATTTAAAAAGAGAACCAGAACCTCCAATTCCAAACCATCCTCACAGGTTTCTTCCTTGCCTTATTCCATCCTGTATTTGCCACGTTCTTTCTTCTAAAATGAGAACCCAAGTTCATCAACACATTTACACAACAACATCAATGTAGTTGCACATTTGCTTGATCACAGACTGCATCTAAAATAGTTTCAAAAATTTTTTCAACAATTTACGATTACAAACAAGGCTGCGATTAATAATCTTGTGCATATATATCTTCATATTGTTGAAGAAATATCTTCAGAATAAATTCCTAGAAGTGGGATTGCTGGGTCAAGGAGTAAGTGCCCATGTAGTTTTGTTAGTGCCACATTTGCCTCACTTTTGCATTCCCTCCAGCAATGTGTCAGAATACCTGTTTCTCTGCAGCCTTACCAGCAGAACATACTGTCAAGCTTTTGAATTTGTCAGTGTGGTAGGTGAGAGTTAGTATTGTAATGTAGTTTTAATTTGCATTTCTCTTATCATGAGTGAAGTTGAATGTCTTTTCATAGGTTTAAGGGCTATTTTTATATTTTTCTTTCTGAATTATCTGTTCATTTCTTCTGGTCTACTTTTCTAATGAACTTTTGGTTTGTTAAAATTTTTTAAAATAAATTTGAGAGTTTATGCTTTTATCAGTAATACAGGATAGCCATAAACTTTGTGTGCAATTTGACATTGCACACTATTTTTTTTTATGCAGTTTTTGGCTGGGGTTGGGTTTGTACCTGCCACCTCCGGCATATGGGGATGGTACCCTACTCCTTTGAGCCGTAGATGCCTCCCTTTTTTTTTTTTTTTTTTGAGACAGAGTCTCAAGCTGTCGCCCGGGTAGAGTGCCATGGCATTATAGCTGACAGCAACCTCCAACTCTTGGGCTCAAGTGATTCTCTTGCCTCAGTTTTTCTATTTTTAGTGGAGACGGAGTCTCACTCTTGCTCAGGCTGATCTTGAACTCATGAGCTCAAGCAATCCACACTCCTCGGCCTCCCAGCGTGCTAGGATTACAGGTATGAACCACCATGCCCAGCCTGCACATTATTTTAAATTGCATATGAACTTTATGGCCACCCTGTATGTGCTATAAATATTTTCTCCCATTTTTGTCATTTGTCTTTCAATTTTACAGTGCTGTTTTTTCCATATGTATAAGTTTTTATTTTTATGTAGTCAAATGTCTGAATCTTTTAATGTATCTAGTTTTCTTTTCTTTCTTTTTTCTGTCTTTTTTGAGACAGAGTCTAACTCTGTTGCCCCAGGGTTGAGTGCCATGGCATCAATCATAGCTCAAAGCAACCTCAAACTCCTGGGCTCAAGCAATCCTCTTGCCTCAGCCTCCCAAGTAGCTGGAACTGCAGGTGCCCACCATGACATCAAGCTAGTTTTCTATTTTAGTAGAGATAGGGGCTCACTCTTGCTCAGGCTAGCTCCCAGGGTGCTAGGATTATGGGCTTGAGTCACCAAACCTGGCTAGTTTTCTTTCCATAGAAAATACCCAGATAATAGAAAAATTCATGAATGTTTTATTTTAGTACTTAGTTTTACTTTTTACATTTAGATTTCTGATCCATTAGAGTTTATTGTGTGTATGATTTGAGCAATGGACCTTATTCTTTTTTCAGACAAATCCAGTTTTCTCAAGATAATTTATTAAAAACTCATTTTCCCAGTGATCCAAGTCTTTTTCTGGATTTTCTGTTTTTATTCTGTCAATCTGTTAATAATAGAGACTTTATGGTATTTTTAGTTTTAGTTTTGCAGGGCTAATCTAATGATGTACTAGTAAACTTGGCTCTCCAAAGGGGAAGAGGGAAAGGCCAGATCAGTAGCACTTGCCAATTTCTGTGTTGTAAATACTCTTACTGTGGCCAGATTAAAGGATCCAATGGTTTAATTGCAAGATCAGAAAATTCTTGAAAATTTACAATCAACTATAAGCCAGCTCCAGCACAACAGTTGTCTATGTGCCCATGGAGTGTTCTTCCTTTTAAGTGTTTACTTATATTTTCTTGTGAGTTTATTTTTCCAAATGAACTTTAAAGTCAATTTGTCTAACTCTATTTTAAAAAAGCATTGGAATTTTTGTTAGAATTTGTAAATTTATAAACTTGGGAAGAACTTATATAATGTTGAGAATGCCTAAACAATGCCATAAACCAAGAAGAAGTAATGCCTTCATTTGTTCAGATTCGCATTTAAGGAATGGCTTATAGTTTTCTTTATATAAGTTTGAGCATCTCTTATTAATTTATTCCCAATTTTTTGTTGCTATTATCAGTGGAATTTTTTCTTATTCATTATATCTTCAAAAATACTATTGATTTTTGCATGTTAATTTTCTATGCTGTTACCTTTGCTAAATTCTTTTATTATTTCATTAAGTTTTATCTTTGATTCTGTAAGCTTTTTGAGCTGTATTGTCAGGTCATTTGCAAAAACAAAGTTTTATTTCTTTTCTTATTTTTATGTCATGAACTGTATTCTCTATGCTTTGAAACAATTTATGGTTAGTTTGGGACTATCTGATCTCCAAAAATTTGGTTGAATTCACCTGTGAAACCACACAGCCTTGGTTCTTTTTGTAAGGTAATTCACTGTAACATTATCTTTCTTCTTTGGCAGTTGGTCTTTTTAACCTTTCTCTTTTTCCTCTGTTTTCCTAAAAAGTTCATTTCATCTTCATTTTCAAATTTATTTGCATATAAGTGACCAATATAATATCTTTTGAGCTTTTTAATTTCCTCTGTATCAATAGTATCCCTACTGTCATTTTTTTCTATGTGTCCTTCTCTCCTCTCCCCCACTTTGCTTTTCCTTATTAACTAATGATTTGTTTATTTTGTTTGCTGTTTCAAAGAACTAGGATTTTAATTTATTAATTTTGTCTACTATTTTTCTTTCTGTTATTAATTTATTTTTATTTTTATTGTTTTCTTCCTTGTGCTATCTTTTAATTTGTTGGATTTTTTTTTTTTAAGAGACAGAGTTTCACTTTATTGCCCTCAGTTGAGTGCTGTGGTATCCCAGCTCACAGAAACCTCCAGCACTTGGGCTTAAACGATTCTCTTGCCTCAGCCTCCCGACTAGCTGGGACTACAGGTGCCTGCCACAACACCCGGGTATTTTTTTGTTGTTGTTGCAGTTTGGCTGGGGCCTGGTTTGAACCTGCCACTCTTGGTATATGGGGCCAGTGCCCTACTCACTGAGCCATAGGCACTGCCCAATTTGTTGGATTTTTGTCTAGCTTTTTGAGTTGGGAGTTTAATTCAGTTTTTGCCATTCTTTCTTTTTTATTTGTGTAGCTTTTTAGGGCTATAAATCTATCTCTGGTTACTGCTTTAAATATATCTATTCTAATAGATAATATTTTTATTATTTTCAGATATTTTGGAATTCTTTTTGAATTATCAGTTTTACTCAAATTATTTGATGGAAAACTCTTTTAATTTTAATTTGAAAGGGCATGTTTATGTTTTTGTTTCATTTTTAATTTCTAATGTAACTGCATTGTGATTAGAGGATATTGTCTATAATATTTCTGTTTTATGAAACTTACCAATGTTTTCTTTTGTTAGTGATTCACAGACACTTGAAAAAATATATTGTTTTTTATCAGAGTGTAGTATTCAATACTTAGCTAAAGACTTACCTTTTTGATTTTATGTAGCTCTTTCGTATCATTATTTAATTTTTGTCCATTTGACCTGTTTTGTACTAAGAGTGATGTCTAAAGTTTCCTGTTATTAGTATTTTTTATTTCTTCTTGCATCTCCTATAAATTTGCTTTAATCAACGGTTTGCTATTTTACTTGTTGCATAGGTATTCTGAACTGTCATTCTTTATGGTAGCTTTTATAAAGTGTTCATTTCTGATGCATTTAAATTTTTTTAATTTTTGCTTGACTATGCTTTGGCATTAGAGTTGCAATTCCCATTTTCTTACTGTATCTGTCTGGTAAATATCTTTTAGCTTTTTTGAATTATTGTATTTTAAGTATATCTCTTCTATATACTATGGATTTTAGTTTTGCTTTATGAGCCATTTTGAAAATCTTTTCTAAATAGTTGAAAAAATCCTTCACATTATTGATATGCCTGTTATGTCATCTCAGTAATATAATGTTAGGATTACTGTCTGTATTATGTTTTACTAGTGTTTCTGCATTTGGTTAGTCTGCTTTTTAATAAATTTCTTTTGATAAAGAAATTTTCTTTTAATAAATTTAGGAAGATTTTATTTTCCTTGTTACCTTTCTATTAATACTTTTAACGTTTAACAATGACCTTAGTCCCCTTTATTCTTTTTTTTTTAGTCCTCTTTATTCTTAATCTTCTATTGTCAGTTTTAGATTGTGTCCTTAGACTGACCCTTATTATTATTTAGACAACAATGTATTGAATTTACTTTCCTCTTCCTCTAACTGCTGCTCTGTTTCCTGTCCCTTTAGTTTTGCTTTTCCCAGGTTGTCATATAAATGGAATCATATAGCATGCAGCCTCTAGTTGCCACCTTTCACTCAGCATAATATATTTAAGGTTTATCTAGGTTGTTGCGTATATTAGCAGTTGTTGGATATTCCTTTTAACTGTTGAGTAGTTAAAACTCTGGATGTACCACAGATATTTTTAAAAACAATTGTTGCAATCTCATAGGTGGTTACAGAAAAAGTACAGAGAGTCCCACCTATCCTTCCCCACTTCTGCAGTGACAATATCTTACAGGAAATTGGCACTGGCACAATATGATGAACTAGTCTATCGGCCTTATTCAGATATCACTAGTTTTTAGACTCATTCGTTTACATATTTATGTAGTATTTTTTAAACAAACCATGTGACAAGAATCAATATATTGAATTGTTCTATCAGCACAAAAGAACTTACTCCCCTTTGTGATACCCTTTTATAGTTTATAGCCCTGCTGTCCTCCATCCCTGTCTCCTAGCAAACACTAATTTCTTCTCCAACTCTATAATTCTGTAATTTTGAGAATGTCATGTAGATGGAATCATACACAGTATGTAACCTTTTGAGATTGACTTTTTTCATTCACCATGTTGCCCACAAGATCCATTCAAATGGTATATATTAATAGTTCATTCCTTTTTATTGTTGAATAGTATCCCATGGTATGAATATACCAGTTTATACAAATTTACCATAAAAAAAATAGGTTGTATCTATTTTTCCAAAGACCGGGGGAAAATCCTAAGTTTTGATAAAGTAATGCTAGGATATATGTTACACATGTTGAAATAGTTGAGTTAAAAAATATTAATTTGCATAATTTTTTCTTTCTTATAGGAATCTTTGCTATAGAGATTTCTGACATGTGAAAAGATTCCTCACATCCTTGGGAAAGATCAAAGTTACAAACCGATTTTTTTGCTATATGATTGCATTTATCTTTTGAATGCTTGACAATCTTGAATGTATTTATTGACTTTGTGTCTGTGAATCTCTGTTTTCACGTGCCATATCGCAGTGATCTGAGATGACTTATAAAAACAAAAATGCATATGGCTCTTTCTATCCATACAGTAATAGTGAGTGTAAAATCTGCTTACTTCACTATTCAGCACTGTTATGTTAACTATCCGGAGTAAATAAAGAAGCTTATAAAAAGAAGGAAAAGTGTTTTTACAAAACTGATTTCCTTTCCTTTCTTGGATCTCAAATAATTGGTTGGTCGATTTTTTTCTTATGCTTTCATGGCTGGAGAAGTTGTGCTAGAATGGGCACAATTTACCAATGCTGGCCTGGTACCCAATATTCCATTTTGGAACCAACCTGACATAAATTCCATGCCATAATATGATTTCAAAGCAGCAGAAAGTAGGAGTGTGTTCAGATTTTTAAATCCATAGTATTGTACCACTCAAAGACTAATTAACATACATTTTCTACAATTGTGTTTACTCCTACTATTTTTAGAAAGGTAGGTGAAGATATATCTGTCAAGAATGTACTTAAAAATCTGTATTTTTAATAATTTTTCTTTAAAACATTAAAGTACTACAATCAACTTAATTGCCATTTTATTTTATTTTATTTTTGCCTGTGGCAGCTGTCTGTAATCTAGAATAACAAGTGGAGTGATGTTTCTTTTTTTTCTTCCCACATATCCTAAATCTCTTACCTTATTTGTCCAGAGGCTTTGATTTAATGTTGATATTAGAGCCTAAATGCTACTGTATTTTACTGATATAAGCTATTTGTATTCTTGCCATTTTAATAAAAAAAGTCCTGTCATTAATAGTATGCATATGATGTAGACAGTTTCTCATTTTATATAGTCATTATTTAGTATGACTAAAGTGAATTAGGACAGTAACCTGATTGAGGTTTTGTTTAATCATTAGCACTCTGATATTTTACTGTTAATTGACACTATATATTCACTTTAGTTTGATTTTTTAAAACCTTCAGCTTTACTCATCTAGTTTAAGACAGTTATTACAGAATGGTAAAAAAATTAATAATGTAGAACAAGATGCCCTGTTACAAATATTTTAAAGAATAACATGCAAACATTTATCCTTGCTAATATTAAATAATATATCGATATATTTAGAATATTAACCTTTGTTAGGTGATGAAATAACCTTAGTACCAGGTCATCACAACATTAATTTAAGTCTATCCACCTAAAAGAGCAGACAAAGAACTGAGTTTTATTTGTCATATGTACTTAACACTTGTGGAAGACAATATGTAGGGTGACAGGCATGACAGAAGCAGGAATGAAATATGTAAGAAAGTATTTCCATACTTAATTAAAAGTGTTCTATACTTGTACCATTAATTAATATTTAAAGGAAAATTACATGATAAGTATAAAGGGGCCAACATTATCCAAAGATAGGAGAAACCTCCACTGTATTATATGACAAAATTTCAAAGAAAAGATTTTTTTTGTTATGGAAATATTCAAGAACATTTGTTTTATTAAATGAGTTATAACCACTTGATATAAATATTTAACAGACTGTTGTTATGGTAAAGACTGCCTAATACAAACACAATTTAAAACTATATCAAACATATGTACCAAACTTTCCCATATTCTGGTTTCTCTTCAGATCATACAAAATTTCACCTTTTACCAAATATATTCTTTCTTGATGACAAATCTCCAGAAAAAGAGCTCTTAACTTTCAAATGTCATGTTCAGTACAAAACATTCATTCCTGCTGAAGTAAGGGTGTTATGAAAGAATTGTTAACACTCTGAATAATTTAAATCCATAATTTGTTATACAAAAATTCTATTTTGAAGTCGTATTTTCTTTTCTTTGGTTTATCAGAGCCATCATCCAACATTTTGTTGAAAGTAGGAGCAAAGCATTGGCACTCTGAAATTCATAAACATGCAGTTTCAAAAGGGACAGGTGTTGGCTGGGCACAGTGGTGGCTCGTGCCTATAAGCCTATAATCCTAGCACTCTGGGGGACAGGGAACAGATGGATTACTTGAGCTCAGGAGTTTGAGACCAGCCTGAGCAAGAACAAGATCCTCTCTAAAAAATACATTGTGGCAGGCATCTGCAGTCCCAGCTACTTGGGAGGGTGAGGCAGGAGGATCACTTGAGCCCAAGAGTTTTAGGTTGCTGTCAACTGTGACACAATAGCACTCTACCCAGGGCAATATAGTGAGACTCTGTCTCAACAACAAAAAAAAGGCTCAGCTCCTGTAGCACAGTGGTTACACACCAGCCAAATGCACCAAGGCTGGTGGGTTTGAACCCAGCCCGGGCCAACTAAACAACAATGACAACTGCAACCAAAAAATAGCCAGGTATTGTGGCAGGCGCCTGTAGTCCCAACTACTTGGGAGACTGAGGCAAGAGAATTGCTTAAGCCCAAGAGTTTAAGTTGCTGTGAACTGTGACCCCAGGGCACTCTACCATAGGCAACATAGTAAGACTCTGTCTCCAAAAAAAAAAAAAAAAAAAAAAAAAAAAGGGACAGGTGTTATTTTTCTTACCTTTGGTATATTAGTATTCCCCCTTATTACAATGTAGCAACAATAGGCATAATGAATTAGAAAATTTCTAGCTGGCCCTCTGTAAGAGTATTGGCCACAGTGATTACAAGTGATTCACCCTGGAGAATTACAAGAACAAAAAATATGAGTGGAAGCCACTGCTTCCTAAATAGTTATTGCTTCAAAAATTATTTGAAATTATGCATCCAGGTACTTAAAATATGTTCTTAAATGTCATTCTCATAAGAATCAGCTATTTTTTTCTTTGCTGTCTTCCCATAAATCCTGGTTATGATCTTGTATAGAGTCTCCTCAGCTGCCCAAATGCTATGCTCAAAGTTCCATTCCTTGCATAATCAGTAATAGTTTACAGCTCAGTTTTCCAGCCTTATTTACTTCCAGTAAAGTAAAAGGAGAGCTGCTGATTGAGAAAATAATCTTTAAAACTCATGTATTTGTGGTATTCTCCAAACAGCTATCATAGCAAATCATAGGCCATTTAATAGCACAACTATTATTTTAAGTAAAATTACAGCTATCAGAATATAACTTCTTAGATCTTTTTGTTCTGAATTTCTCAAGTAAAGAACAACTCTGGCCTCATATGATTAGACCACCTATTTAAGCCCCTTAGCTATATTAATTCTTTGTACCTTAATACATTTCTACATAAGCAGAGTGAGTTTTACTAATCATTAAATTTTCAAATAATTTCCCAATTAAATTGAAAAACGTGTAATATGTTCTTCATAAGACATATTTATATTAAATAAAGCCAAAAGCATCTTTTCTCAGGATTTTATGATCACAAAATACTCAGCCTAACATTATCAATATCCTTTGAATCAGTACCATTTAAAACATATCACTGACAAAACAATATGTGGTATGTCAACTTGAACTCACTTCTTTCAATAAATTCTTTAATAGAAAGGGTATTCTTAGTATTTAAAGAGTAAATATATTAAATGATTGTATTATAGTTTAGAAAAGGATATTTTATAATCACAGGAATACAAAGCCATAGGAAATATTTATAATCATAAAATTAGATCACTTTCCTTAGGTGTTCCTTAATGTTTGAGTTTTAAGAGAACTCATAGAAATAAGGAAGATTTACAACTGCATGATAAACATGTAATCAAAGTATTTGATTATAAACAAGTAATAATTGAACACTTTCTATATGCTAAAAACTATATAAGTTTTCCTTAAGTAATAGTTCTTATTCCAAATAATACTGTGATTCATGGTTTCAAACTGCAAGTAAAAGATGATCCCAGTGTTGTCAGATGTTAAATTACTAAGGTACACGTTGAAATGTGAGGTAGATAATAAGAAATATATTATTTGTTCACTGTCCCATTACTTCAGGTTTTTGTTGTTGTTGTTATTTTAGTGACAATCTTACTCCGTCACCCTGGCTAGAGTGCAGTGGCATCATCATGGTTCACTGCAACTTCAAACTCCTAGGCTTAAGTGATCCTCCTGCCTTGACTCTGGAGTAGCTGGGACTTCAAGTATAAGCAACCATGTCTAGCATGCCCAGCTAACATTTTCTATTTTTAGTGGAGACAGGGTCTCGCTCTTGCTCAGGCTGGTCTTGAACTCCTGAGCGCAAGTGATTCTCTTACCTCTGTCTCCCAGAGTGTTAGGATACAGGCATGAGCCACCATGCCCAACCTACTTCAGTAATTATTAATCCTGGCTTTGTTTTATAGCGACTTGCAAACCTTTATAAAAACTACAGTGAAATTAAATAACCTGTGGCCTAAGGTGGAACATAGCTCTATGATTCAATAGAGACTCTAAAAAACCCTTCTTTCAGAGTTTAGTGGATTTAAATAGATGAGAATTATACTGCTTGATCAAATTATTTTAGCCCTTTCAAATTGTATTTAAATATTTTTGTCTTGTAGAGTTTGTACAATTTTATTATTCTACTTCTTTTGATTCTCTATGATCATAGGATAGCTTCTCCAATATACTCATCTATTTTTCTGGTTTTGCAGCATCTCCCTTAGTTTTTTATAGTTTTTCTAGTCTATGTTGCTGAAGTGAATTATGCACTTTTGATGCTATCGTGGTAACTTCAGAAACGACTTTAATGAGTGAGACTTGGTTTGCTCTTTAACAAACATGATTTTAAAACAGACACAGTGCTATACTCAAGATATTGTTGAAGGGAGTTAGACAAGACATGCAGCCTACTTGAACATTCTCTTGATTGGCATACCCTCGTATAGCCTAGTGACATCTGTGAGACTGTTGGGACTTTATAATGTAACTTTGGGGTCTACTCTGTTGATCTACTGCTGCTGATCTGTTTTTGTTGTAAACAGATCAACTTCTCAT